TTGAAAAGGTGGCACAATTCTTTTCCGTAATTTTGCCCTAACGCGATTAAAAAGGTTGACTTTACATAAAATGTGTATTTAAAACTGCATTTAAACGTAGTTTATTTATACACAACGCAAACAGTTTATTCAGCTCAATGATTGGGCAGTACCGACGTGTCTTCCCGGGTTATTTCTTTAAGGTAGAGAGATTTGGGGAAGGGTGCCATGATTTGCTTTAAAGCTGTTTTTGCCGATTACAGCGGTTTTTACGTTCCGAGCCTGAAGGACTTCTGACACGGAGGCTGACTCACTTCTCTACGTTGAAGAACGCCCTTGAGACACGGACTGAAACGTCGATACTGGTGAAATTGTTTGTCATTGACCCGCGTTTCATGCCGTTTTCAATATGGCCACCAAAATACAGGGATAAAATATTCAGAATATTTCTTCAATGAGGAATTATTACGCAAAATGCACCAGATTAATCATCTGTTTCAGAAGAAATATTTTATTTCTTAAAATGTCCATTTCTTGACAAGTTATTATATAGAAAACATAAAGTTAGCGAATTCTCGTATAAGCAGCATATTTCGGGAGAGGAGGATGTCAAATTACCGTTAGCCCTTTCTTAAAGACAAAACATTTCCTTCTAATGATATTCTAGCAAAAGACTTGCTGGGTTTATTTTAATTGACTTGTGGCGGTCGAAATTAGGGTGGCCACCGTTGACATATATCCTGGTGTTGATCCCGGTTGGATTGCGGTCGAGTCAGCAGTGGCGAGAATTATATAGGAAAAACAGCAAATCCGTGGCTGTGTGGGGCGCAGGGTACGATGCATTGACCACAGGTCTTCTACTACCTACAAATATCGTTGCTGTTTTGAACGGTAGAATAATTAAACGAAGTTTCGGCGGCTTATTCTGTAACTCTCCGAAGGACCTACCAGTCGGTCCTTTAGAAGAGTGCCGAGTAGGCACAATGTCTAAAAGGTTAGCTTAAAATTCCAGAGGTGCCGGGTTCGATTCCGCTCAAGAGTATCGTTGTCTTGTTCACAAATTCCTTTGAACAAAGAGTTTGCCACACACAGTTTCAAATCGGGATTACTCTGTCGATATAGCGTCAAACTCACATCTGATAGGTACCGAGTTTAAGTCTCGGTCAGGGTCACTCGTCCTTCTTCCTCCCGTGGTTAATAAATGAATACCAGTCTGTCAGAAGGAAATTGAAGACTGTTAGCTTGCCATATGGCTATAGACTCTGCCTTTAAAAAATAAATCGCTCCTGGTTGACGGCATAGAAACGGAAATCAGCACTGCACCATCACCGTGTCATGGGAAAAACAGTACTACAATGATATGACCATGATAGTGAAGGAAAACCGACATCTGTGACAAGCTTCAATTTTTTTCCTCCTGAATAAGGCACCTGGTCTTTGGTTTAAGTTTATGTTTTTGTATATATTTACATCCGTCCCTACACTGAGGGTGAAAGCGACAAGAATTCAAGTTCATTTATAACCATTTAAATCCACTTTTACTGACACTGCAAAAGTTCATGTGCCGTATGTTCTCTTCAGTCTGCTGTTTCAACCGTGAACGTCTTCACAGAGGTCTCAGGAGTGACTGTGAAAGTATTCAGGCGCTTAACCGGAAGAACGCTACCATACTCAGAGGGTTCTCATGAGTTCTGCAAGCAAATGTGGCAAATGTTGTTGCGATCATCACTTGAGGTATGAGGCACACAGAGCGAGTACTCAAATTAATGATATCTGACGCGTTAGCTTCTCCTCGAAT